GCTGTGTGGAGCAGCCATTGGTACTCATGAAGATGACAAGTATCGGCTGGATTTGCTAGCCCAGGCTGGTGTGGACGTAGTTGTTTTGGTGAGTTGCTGCACAGGCAGGGTGGGGCGGAAGGGGCAGCTGCCATACCAGTCTCACTTGGATTTCCTTCCTGTCCCAGGACTCTTCCCAGGGAAATTCCATCTTCCAGATTAACATGATCAAATACATCAAAGAGAAATACCCGAGTCTCCAAGTCATCGGAGGCAACGGTGAGGCAGGACAGGCACTGAAGGACGCAGGGCAAGTGGGAAGCTAGACTGTCACCTAGACCTTCCCCTGAGCCTTTCTCTGTTCTTCATGGCAGTGGTCACGGCTGCTCAGGCCAAGAATCTCATTGACGCTGGCGTCGATGCCCTGCGGGTGGGCATGGGAAGTGGCTCCATCTGCATCACCCAGGAAGGTAGGAAGATCCTTTCGCAGGGCCCTTAGCTCCACATGCCCTGGAGCCAAGCGCTCTCATGGGAACTAAATGAATCCTCCAATAGGGGCAGCCCCAGGTCCACACAGGCCCCTTGGATGGGTGACCTGCTGGAAGCAAGACAAGCTCTTGTCTTTCCTCACTTGCCACTCCCCCCGCCTAGCCTGGCCTCCTTGCTCCTGCTCTGCGCCCTCTCTAAACTCTGGTCTGTTTGTTTTATTTAGCGGCTCCCAAGATCCCTCCAGACATAAAGTCCCACAGCCCCAAATGCCCTTCTACTGTCACGGGCTGCTATAGTAAGTCCGGCCCGGCCCACTGGCCCGGCCCAGCTGCCCACTGCCCGGCTGCTTGATTGATTGTAGCTGTAGCTCCCAGGGTTTGTGGTGCTGGTGGGTGGGCAGGGCAGACTGAATGACAGACCATGGTTTTGGGGGCTGCTCGAAAACACAGCTCCCCATCCTCTCCCTGGGGTGTTTACAGGGCAGGACCTCCTTCCCCAGGTAGGCCCTGCTCTGCCCACATCTCCTGCAGTAGGTGCAGCTCAGGGACCAACTCTAGAGCACACTCTTCCTTCCCCACAAACATTTACCTGATTTTGCCTGAGCTGCCCACCGTGTAGAGAGGAAGGGATGGGCCTCTGGGTACTAACTGCACGGTGACCCCTACCCCACCGGATACTAGTTTGGGGCTTTCTCAGCTGCTGACTGCATGTGCCTGAGGCTGCCCTGGGCCATGCACACATGCACGCGCACACGCAGGGGTGAGTGGTGGCCATCACAGCTGTTTGCACTGTTCAAGGTAGATTGGGCAGCAGCCATCCAGACGTGACTTGCTCTCAGCCAGGCTGCAGTCCTGGTGTAGGTGTAGCTGAGAGCTCCTATGTGCAGAGTTCTGGCTACAAGGTCCCTTGCCTGTTCCCACTAAGTCCACCCACCCATCTGTTCCTCTGTCTCCTAACAGTGCTGGCCTGCGGGCGGCCCCAAGCAACAGCAGTGTACAAGGTGTCAGAATATGCACGGCGCTTTGGTGTTCCTGTCATTGCTGATGGAGGAATCCAGAACGTGGGCCATATTGCCAAAGCCTTGGCCCTTGGGGCCTCCACAGGTGAGGCCCAGCACCTAGGGAGCCTGGTGGGACTCCTTCCCCAGTACCACTCAGGGTCTGCCCCCAGCACTCCATCTCTCCATAGTCATGATGGGCTCCCTGCTGGCTGCTACCACTGAGGCCCCGGGCGAGTACTTCTTCTCTGATGGGATCCGGCTAAAGAAATATCGTGGTATGGGCTCTCTTGACGCCATGGACAAGCATCTCAGCAGCCAGAACCGATATTTCAGGTGGGACAGGAAGGTCAGTTACCGTATGCCAACCCAGCACTGACAGCCTCATCTGTGCTTTGACCTTGTCCATGTCTCTTGCCTTTCCCTGCAGTGAAGCTGACAAAATCAAGGTGGCCCAGGGGGTGTCTGGGGCTGTGCAAGACAAAGGGTCCATCCACAAATTTGTCCCCTATTTGATCGCTGGCATCCAGCACTCCTGCCAGGACATTGGTGCCAAGAGTTTGACCCAAGTCCGGTAAGTTGGGGAGCTTGAGCTTGGGAGTGCTGGGGGGTGGGGGGGGGGTCCAAGGCCAGCTACCCACATCGGACATCTCCTTCAGAGCCATGATGTATTCTGGGGAGCTCAAGTTTGAGAAGAGAACGTCCTCAGCACAGGTGGAAGGTGGTGTCCACAGTCTCCATTCGTAAGTGACCAACACTTTTCCACTCCTGTGTCCTCAGGGTGGAGGTCTCTGCTATACCTCCTTCCTGCTACCCTCATCTCACAGCTGGTCCTTCTGCCTACAGGTATGAGAAGCGGCTTTTCTGAAAAGGGATACAGCATACCCCCTTGGTTTTTCAATAAAAGTTTGAAAAAAAGTGATGCCTAATCTTTGAGGTCAACAGGCAGGTGGGGCTGTGCAGCTGCCACATCACACAAACACACATCTTCATTTCCAGGGAAAGCCTCAGCCCACCCATGAGGTAAGGGTGCTCATGGACCTGGAAGGGGGTAGTTCTAGATTCAAAAAGTGTCTCCTAAGGCAGCTCACAAGACAGCTCTGAACAGCTGGCTCCCAAGGGCTCCATGTCAGGCCCTAACTGTGGCTGCTTAAGGGAGGGGTCAGGGAACAGTCCAGGAGGCTTTAGACTGATCGACAGGGCCTGCTGCTAGCCTAAAGATTGGCCACATGGGACCAGGTTGAAATCCACACACACCTTCTCTAACTTGACTCTCTAATGGACCTTGTGGAGAAAGAATGCTGCGATCGCCTCGAATCTGCAATGTGAGCAAGTAGATAGATCTGCAATTTGAAAGAGGTATATATGCCACCTCTCCTGGCCTCTGAGGGGCCGTGTAGTCTAGATCAGGGGTTGGCAAACTTTTGAGATGGAAGAGCCAATTGTGTCCCTCACAACAATTTAAAAGTTCTCTGAGAGCCATAAGTATTGGGTTCTTGGAAAAGTCATGACACATTTTTGCAATAAAAAACATAGAAAAAATACGTCATGACTTTTCCAACAACCAAATATATTTTTACAAATAAGGAAAATTTTAAAATCCTTTAAAAGTTTTATAAATGAAACTATGGTAGTTTTATTTTCATTTTCAATTTTACTTCAGAGCCACATGTACATACCCAAAAAGCCACATGTGGTTTGCGAGCCGCAGTTTGCCAACCCCAGGTCTAGATGAAAAGGTGACCCTTTGGTCTCTCCACACCCCCCCATCAAGAGCCTACTGAGCCAGCAGCTCCTGGCCAGCAACACACCTCTAGTACAAAATGGGAGAAGTGGATTAAATTATTAATTTGCTAGCAAGTAAGACAAGCCACAGGAGAGGGGCTGATGAAAGCGCTGGGAACTCCTGCAGTGTGCAAAAGGTGCCAGGGTCAGGTCAGTTCCTTGTGGCTCCTTCTGCAGCTTGGGCCAGAGATGTGTACACTGTCCCTCCAGGTGGGGGTATGAGAGCGGCTCCTGTCACTCGGCCTTCATGACACAGGAAGTTGAAAGTGGCACAGGCATTGGGCTGTAAAGAAAAAGCCAGCATGAGCTGGGCTAGGGCTAGGGCTGGGCTCCCCTCAGCCTTCCCAAGTCCCGGGACTGACCGTGTCCTGCACTTCCACAGCGATACCCCGCTGCCTCATGGCTCGCAGCACCTGGGACTGCAGCCGCTCAGTCCGGTCTCCAGTGCCCACCACAACAATCTCTAGGAAAGGATGGACACAGCTAGTCTACAACCAGGTCTGCTGACAGGCTGGGGTGGGAGCGGCTTTGTGGGGCTCAGAGCACCTCAACCTTCCCCTCTTCAATACCTATTCGTGGCTCCAGCATCCAGAAGAGAGAGAAGCTTTCTTCCGTGATGTCCTGGTGGGATCCTACCTGTGTGGGGAGGAGGCAGGTTAAATACAACAAATCCAAGCAGCTTTCCCCCATAGACTTGCTCCACAACGGGGCCACGATAAAGCCAAATTGCTAGGGACAGAATCGGGCAGCCCTGGGGCTCTGGGCCTCAGCTTCCTCACTGCAGGGAAGAGCTCACGTTCCACTGCACCACCGAGTGCGGGAGAAGCGCGCAGGGCCCATGCACGCGATTTCCGTTGACCACGAAGCCACGGCTGCTATAGCTGTCGATGTACATGGCGTGCGAGGACTCGCGTTGCAGCAGAGAGATGCGCGTCCGCTGATACAGCTCGTCATCCGCGGGAGTCAGCCGGTGCCCACGCCGTGGGGCCCTGCGGAGGGGCATAGTCAGGGTCTACCGGGCCAGGAGGGAGGGGGCCGGGGTGGTCAGGGACATTGGGGCTGGGCTCACCACAGCAGATCGGCGGGCGGAAAGCTGAGGGCGGGTCGCGCTCGGTACAGGCCGCGAAGCACGAACGCGGCGACCATGGCGAACCGGCGCGCAGGGTCAGCGGAGTCGTAGCGAAGCCCAGCTCAGCGCGGCTACAGTGCCCCCTGCGTCCCGGAGGGCACCGCGCAGCTCGGCCGGCCCAGCGCGGGAGCGGGCCAGTGCCATCTGTCCCAGAAAGGCGCGTCCCCCAGCGCGGCTCCGGTGTCTGCATCTGCCTCCCGCCCCGCCCCGGGCCCCCGCAGACCGTCCTGGGGGAGCCGGACACCTGGTGGTGGGGTTGACCTCAGGGCACTCACTGCCTGGACCCTAGCCGCTGCCTGGCTCCCGGCTCTCAGCTGTTCCACAGGCCTTCGGGGGCCTGGGGCGGGGCGGCCGCACACCTGGCCCGGTCCCGAACACCTGGCCAGGGCGTGGTGCCAGTCTCCAAGCCCCTAATCCCGGCTTTGGGGCGTCGGGTTCCGAGGGCGGGGCGGACGGCTCAAGTTTCCCTCGCTCACCGCGGAATCACGCCCCTCCTCAACCGTCACCCGCGCGACCGTTGGCGTCGCCTCCGCGCGTCGCACGGGGCGTGGCCGTGCGTGGATTGGCTTTTCGGGAGCGCGAGGGGGCGTGGCCGTTTGGTTTCGCCTTAAAATGGCTCCAGTCTGCGGCCGGAGCTAGCGGAAGGGGACGCCGTGGTAGGGTGATGGTAGTTGTCCGGGCGGGGCCGACTGGGCCGAACCGGACCAGACATTGAACTAGACAGCCGCTGGAGCATCGCTCTGTCCTCGCTCACTCTGCTCGCGTTCCGAGAATCCCCCGTCCCCGGTTTGAGCCGAATCCAGAGAGTCTACTGGCGCCCGCGCGGGGTTCGGACATCTCCGCGCGCCCACGGTGTCGTGGCCTCAGGGGAACGTTGCGGCGTCTGCTATCCGCGGGGGCGGGCGGGCATCTTGGCACAGATGAGGATGGTCGCAGTGGATTCCTAGGGGTTCCGTCGCCACCGTACGGGCCCACTGGGGCCCCTAGCGCTATGGGCGCTGGCAGCTTCGCCGGACAAAGGGCCCCGGGTGCGGGGGTGTCTCCGAGGCGGGCTCGCGGGTTTACTTCCTCCTCGGCCCCACGGGCGTGCTTCCCTCTTGGCTGTCCCGAAGCCCGCCCCGCCACCGTCACCGCACAAGTGGCTCTGGCTGAGTGAGACCAGTAGGACTAATCCTACCCCGCGGATCTGATCCGGATCGGAACTCGGTCCCAGGGCAGGTCCCCACCGCCCCTCCTATTGTTTGGGGGCCCAGGTGAGCTCCTCGTTCCCACTAGACTTGGTTTCACTGCTTACTCCTAGGTCTGCCTCCTGGGCCTGGGTAAGGGGGGTTCTAATCTGGCCCCAGGGCGAGGGGCCCCTCCCCCCAACGGCTGGACAGCGGGCAACGGAATCCCAAAAGCAGCTGTTGTCTCCAGAGCATTCCAGCTGCGCTTGGATTTCGTTCCCTGCTCTCCTGCCTGAGCAGCGTCCTGGTCCAGATGGGGTGGTCGAGCCCCTGAGCCCCAGACATGCTTCACTGGATCGTTCTGGTCTCCGTCCCTCTCTCAGGTGTGCCTTCAGACTGGAAGTGACGGGTGTAGTCGTCTGAGAGCCTGGGCTGTGGCCATCTGCGAAACCCGGGGTAGCACTGGTGAGGGAAAGAGGACCCAAGTCCCCCATATAGGGCTGCAATGGCGGTGAGTCCCACAGGGCTGCCCCAGCCCGCAGCTCGCTAAAGATAGCCCTTCACTTCCTGGGGAAAAAACCACCCCAACCGTCTTAGTGTACAGAGAGTAGCTGAAGTCCCCAGCTGGGCCTCCAGCCCCAACCCTGTTAACTATCCCCGAGGCGCGCGCCTGCGGCATAGAAAGTGCTTTGGAATGACACGATCACTCTCGTTGAGTGGGCACCCAAGAAGCCATCGGGAATGTCGTGTCCGCCCAGTGCTCTTTCGGCGCCTCCCAGGAGGGCCTTGAAGCCCTGGCCCAGAGAGGGGCTTTGCCAACCTTTTCCTGCTTCTATGGTCCCCTCCCTTCTGAGTTTTGGGCACTGTCACTGCTCCAGGGCAGAGATCACAGTTTTACCAGCACTCTGTGCTGCGTCAGGGAAAAGGGGGTTTAAGTTACATTGAAGTGAAAACATGGGGGACAGGAAAGAGCTTTCTCTTGGACAGAGGAGTGGAATACTCCAGCTGAGCTGCTCTTTAGCTTGCTCTTCTTATGGTCACATTGTTTAGTTGACCCACAATGGCTCGTTACCTAAACCAGGAAGCGGGAGGGTCCCTGTTAAAGTACACTAGGTTAAAGGAGAAAGCTTTCGAAGCCGGAAATTCTGGAAACCATCGTGATGGTTTTAATTCCTGAAGAATCAAGACGAGAAAACTGGCAGTTCTATCAGTGGGCATTTATCGGGAATAAAGACAACCCATGTCCTAAAGTAGGAAATGCAAATAACCTGAAACCGCAGAACACAAATTCTTTTTAAAACGAGGTTGTTTTTTTTTAAGTAGGTCGTGAAGGTGGCATTAATGTTAGCTGCCCTCTTCCAGTGACAATTTGTTTGGAACTTGGCAACATTTTGTTCATGTGTAAAATGGGGGAAACAAAACGTAGACTTCGATGAGAGCAAGAGTCCCCACCAGGTCGCGAGGGTCCTTCCCTTGTTTGGTAACGCGGGTGACAGCGAAAGAACTGTGGGTGAGGGAAGACTCCGAGATTTCGGACCCAGGACCAAGCACAGAAGGTGGGCCACGCTAAGGCAGTCGGTCGAAAGCAACGGCCGCTGTTCCCTCTGGTGCACCTGCCCACTCAGGGACCGGATCTCCGCCCTGGCCGGTCGGTCTTCCCGGAAGTTCGGCCTCCTGATATTTTGCTTCCGCTTCCGCTCGCTCCTTCCAGTCGCCATGGCGACGGGGCGCCTTGGGGTCGAAGAGACTCTGGGGGCCCTTAACGCGGCTTTGGGACCTGGTGGCCCCGTGTGGTTCAAAGAGACGCGCGCCCGCCACCTACATGCCCGAGACTTCCTGGCGCCGCGGCGCGCGCTACAAGCACGCTTCGGAGACGGACAGGTGTGCACAGGCCGGGCAGGGACGGGCGGCCAGGGGTAGCTGGGAGCACCGCGGCCTTCTCACCCACCTGTCCCCATGCAGGTGCCCGAACGTGTGTTCCATGCGGTGGCCGTCCTGCAGGGCCCCGGCGTGGCTCCAGTGCTGCGCTGCGCACCGACCCCCGCGGGTCTGGCGCTCCAGCTGCAGCGGTCCGCTGTCTTCGAGCGCGTGCTCGGCGCGGTGGAGGCCTATGCTGCGCCCGCCGCACCGGCCACGCCGGGTCTGCGCGTCCTCCTGCACTGCCCAGCGCTGCGCGCCTCCCCCTGCGTACTCCGCCTGAGCCAGCTGCGGGCGGTGCTCGTGGCCGATCACCTGGCGCGAGCTTTGCACGCTCAAGGGTGCGCGGGGACACGGGGCGCGAGACAGAAGGGCGTGGCCCTTGGGGACTGGCTGCAGCAGGTGGGAATAGGGGTGAGCCGGGCCAGGTGCTCAGGCTGAAGGGGCTACCCTCGCTTCGCAGGGTGAGTATTCGCCTAGTGCCCGCCGTGCGGGATCCGCACATGTCGACATTCCTGCAGCATCTGCAAGTGGACTGGCCTGCTACCTCGGAGCGAGCCGAGACCGAAACCTTGAGGAGCCAAGCACTGGCAGAGCTTAGCCCTGCTGGTGACAGGGGAGCCCTGCCCCCTGGCGTTCTGGGCAGTGTGTGCCTGAAGGATCTGTTGGAACAACGGGGACGCACAGCTGGCTACGACCCCAATCTGGACAACTGTCTGGGTAGGATCTGGAGCCTATTAGGGCCAGAAAGACGGGGACCCCTGCAGTCCTGGCTAGCCCCAGCGCCTGTGTTCCCTCTGCAGTGACCGAGGATTTGCTCTCTGTGCTGGCTGAGTTGAGGGCAGCCCTGCTGCACTGGCCTGAGGTAGGCTCCCTAAGCCTGGTTAGTGACTGACTCCCCACCCTGCAGGAGTCTGACAAACCAAGTGTTCTGTGTCCCTGCAGTGACTGTCTTCCTCCCCCACAGGCTGCAACCCCCGATGCTGGTGCAGACAGCTGCATGGTGGTACATGTGGTAAGCTGCGAGGAGGAGTTCCAGCAACAAAAGTTGGACCTGCTTTGGTGGAAGTTGGATGATCAGGCTCCTCTCAGACAGGTAAGTTAGTGATGGAGCTCCCCTATCAACTTCAGAGAGCCCTTGAAAACCCATCCAGGGGCCTGCTAGCTGATTGGTCCAGAAGGGGACTTTGACCTTGGGGAGACATTAGGCTTGGTGAATGGGCACATACAACAGGTGCAGAGTCCTGGGAGGTGGGGTCTGGAGGCACATCCTGGAGAATGTTAAAGAATAGCTGGACAGAATCCTGAGGGGCTGGGCTTGAGAGTGAGGCACTAGGCCTGGTGGTAAAAGGCTGGGGAAGTCCAGGCACCAAGATTTCAGTTCTTTGAGGGGTTTATTGCTGGAGGGTGTCACCTGCTGGCTGAGCCCCTGCTTTCTTCCTGACAGAAGCACCTGGTCTGTGGCTCAGTGAAAGTAGCTGGAGCACCCGGCACCCTGACTGCCCCAGAGTACTATGAGTGAGTGAGGCCAGGCGGCCACCAAGCCTGGGTAGTTGACACGGGGACTCTGCCCACTGGCCACCCTTACTCTTTTTAAATTGCAGGCTCAGGCACGCTCAGGTATGCAAGGCCTCGGCACTGAAGCACAGCAGAGACCTGACAGAAGGTGCGCCTGGGAGGCCTGGCTGTGCTTTGGAGCAGGGGCAGGTCATTTGCACCCTGCCCCTTGTTCCTTGCCCGCAAAGACTGACTGACCCATACTCCCTCAGACCCAGCCTGGACAGAAACCTTCAGGGTTCTCTCTGTGGCGACCATCAAGTTTGAGATGCTCAGCACAGCCCCGCAGAGTCAGGTGAGCCTGGGTGTCCTACAGCACCAGGATGTGGGGGGACAGATGGTGTGGTGGCTGCCCTCCCTCTCTGCAGCTGTGTCCCCATTCTTCAGCTGGTCCTGGCCCTGGCGGACAGCAGCATTTCCACAAAGGGCACCAAGAGTGGCACCTTTGTCATGTATAATTGTGCCCGTCTGGCCACACTCTTTGAGGGTTACAAGCACAGCATGGAACAAGGTCTGTACCCCCCTTTTCCACCTGTGAGCAGTCTGGATTTCTCACTGCTCCATGATGAGGTGAGTGCCCTGCCCTCCCAGTAGCTGGCACTGCAAGAGGCTCGGACTTCCCCTTCCAGCAGCTTTGTCCCCACAGGGTGAGTGGCTGCTGCTGTTCAACAGTATCCTCCCGTTCCCAGACCTGCTGAGCCAGGCGGCAGCCCTGGACTGCACAGCCCTGGGGCTGCACATCACTGCACGCACGGAGATGGTAAGGCAGGAAGACCAGGACAGACACTGCACTCTTTATTCTCGTTTGGGGTACAAGAGCAGAGACCCGCCAGTGACTCTGTCTGTCCCTAGGTGTGCAAGTCCCTGGTGAAGCTCAGCATGGACTTCAGCTCCTACTACAACCGTGTACACATCCTAGGGGTGAGCGCACAGCACAAGTGGGGGTGGTGGGGGGAGTTGGAGGTGGTGAGGAGGTGCCAAGGATGAGACCACCAGGCTCCTCTCTCCTCCAGGAGCCTCGGCCACACCTGTTTGGGCAAATGTTTGCCCGTCTGCAGCTTCTACAGGCTGTGCGTGAGGTGCTCCACACTGGCCTGGCCATGCTAGGTCTCCCGCCACTCAGCCACATCTAAGGCTACAGAGGGTCCAATGTTTGGGAATGTTCATGGAGTCAACTGAAGAAAAAAAACCCCACAGGTTTTGTTAAGAAACCTGGAGCCAAAATAAACCATTATGCAGCTCTGTTCTGTTGTGGAGAGTGAGGTGTATTCTTGGTCTGCTCAGGCAACCGTCTACTCACCTCCAGTGCCTGCTCAGAAGTCAGGAACCCGCGGCTGCCTCCTCCTCCCCTCAAGGCACACTGGGCACGGGCACAGACAGTCACTCCCGCTCCACTGTCTGCGAGCAGGCCCCATGCCCAGCATGCCGGCCACCGCGGGACACCTCAGTCATACCAGTTGTAAACCTCAAGTCCCTGGCCTCCAAGAGCACAACGATGGCCAAACTCGGGGCTCACAGGCCAGCAGTCCATGTCGGCCACATCTGGTACATGGTACACGGTACTGTTCATGAAGGTGGGCTCGCCATGCCCTAGACGCCAGAAGGTCAGCCGTTGGTCAATGGAGGCTGAGACCATGAGGCTTGGGCTTAGGATATGGAGGCCTGTCACATGGGCAGCATGTGCACAGGGGACAGAGTATTCCTCTAGCACATGCAGTTGGGGCACCGGCTCAGCACCCCCCACAGCCTCTTCCTGCTCTGGCACCTCCACAGCAAGCACAAAGACATGAAGGGAGCCATCCTCACTGCCACTGGCCACCAGATGGCCCTCACACGTGGGCAAGGTGTGTAGGCTGTTGACACCACAGCTGTGAGCCTGGAGGGTCAGGCAGGGGGTGCCCAGCCCTGGAGAAAGAAGATGGTTGTCAGGGCCCAGTCTGCCACATGGGTGAAGGCGAAGTGGGAGGTGGGGAGGGACAGCCCCAGTTGCACGCTAGCTACTCACGGTAGGGAAGGCCAGGGTCCGCTGGGGGCTCGAGGGCAGTGGAGCCATGGTCCAGCACAGTGGTGAGATCCCAGAAGGCCAAGCTGCCATCGGTGGCTGCGCTACACAGAAACAGTCTCCTGGAAGCCAGGAAAGGGCAGCTGAGTCAGGGAGAAGGAAAGCAACAGGAGCCCCCACGGACCCACGCAGGCCCTTCATGCAGCCCCTCTTACCGCCGCTGGTTGGGTGCTTCATGCGTGAAGGAGTGGACCTTGAGAACACACCGCTTGTGGTGGAAGGTTTCAGCCAGGAGCTGCAGCTGCCGCCCCGAGTCCTGCAAAAGAAAGAGCCTGGGGGCGCGGAGGGGTGGCCCAGCTCAGAACCCCTTCTGGACAACCAATCCCATATCCTGTCTCCTGTGCACCCCATGCTCTTACCTCACTGCTCCGTCACTGCAGGCTGCAGCCACAAGGGGGCCAAGGCCAGGCTTGTCAAACTCACACACAGCTAAGGACATGTATCTGCAGAGAACACACAGCCGTCAGGCAGAGCCCTGCATGACCCCACCCCGTGCCCCTGCCAGGCAGCACACATCACCTGGTCTCTGGGTCCACCTTGACCATCCGGCGCCGATTGCGCAGCCGGTCCCAGTCCTCATCTAGCCGGTGAGATGAAAGATGCATAACATGGCAGGCAAGGCGGCTTGGGGTGCTGGGGTCCAGGGTGACCATGATGCTGAAGCAGTGCATCTCAGCCCGGCCCCCCGCAGACACCACGTGGGCGGTCAGGCCTGGCCGAGGATCCTGAGGGCCACCTGGGGTGCCAATGCCCCACACAGCCACTGCACGCACCGAGGAGATATGGTTACAAACAGCTGTAAGCGCACGGGCTGAGCCGGTAGCTGTGGGGAGTGCCAGGATACAGATGGTGGTGTCCTCACTGCACGTGATGACGATGTCAATCAGGCTGGGCCCCTCGCTGCCAGGCTCCAGGTGGTCAGGCTGCACGAAGCTGGGCACCTCAAACTCAGGCCCCAGGATGATGGTGCCCACACGCTTCACACACGTGATCTCACGGCCATGCAGGCTCTCCCGGAGAATCACGTGTGGCCGGGTGCAGCCACCCAAAGCCCGGTACAGCATGACATCCCCATCCTTGAGGTAGGCAAAGGCCATAGCCGCCTCAGTATCAGAGAAGGCCCAGGAGCGATGGCCTCCACCACAGCTGACAATGTGCAGCTTCTCGTGCGACCGGGGGCTCCACACCACAAACTCATTGGCATGGAAACCAAGGATGACCATGTTCCCATCAGCCACCATGCGGAGCCCAGCCACCCAGTTCATTCCTCGACAAGACTTCTGCCTTAGGACTGGCTGGAGTTGGCCACATCGCACAAAGAGCTGGTAGTAGGCACCATCACGCCCTGTGGTGTACACATAGCCACCATGGCAGGTGACTGAGGTTACACCCTGCTTCCCATGCAGGGAATGGAGGGCAGACACAGGGCCCCACTCAGCCGAGGCGTTCTCGTCTCCACCACTGCCACTACCCACTCCAGGAGCTCCGGTACCAACCACAGCCTTGCCTCCAACCCCAAGATCCTTGAGCAGAGCTGGTCTGGAGGGGAATAGCAACACAGAGCCCCGGCGGTCCCCGCACACCAGGAAGTCACCCGGGGGTAGGAAGGCACTGCATGTGTGCCATCTCTGCTTGCTTGGAGGCAGCAGGTAACGGCAGCGTTCCTTGACAAAGATGGCCTTGCCAGAGGGCGCAGCTGAGATCTCCAGGCAAGCCACCATGCCACCAGGGCCCGATGCCAGCAACAGGAGCTCCTCGTAGCCGCGCAGGGCCCAGCTCACGCTATACACCTTCCCATGGAACAGGGTCAGGTCCACGGATGCAGTTGGAGTATTGATGGGCACAACCTTGACACGACCCTCCCCATTGGCCATGGCACACAGTCCGAAGCCCTCAGGACCAGGGGCTGCCTCCAGGAGGCAGTAGGACTGGAAGCGCTTGTCCTCTAGCAGTTGCTCCCAGCACTTGACCTCGAGGTCATACAAGTACAGAGCCCCTGTATCAGTCACTGCCAGTACTCGCCATGAGCCAGCCAGTGTCACAGCCTTGAGGGCACCTGGCCTGCTACGGGACTTGAAGCAGAGAGCCGAGACCCCCGAACCTGGGTACCCACGTCCTACCAGGTGCCATAGGCGGATGCCTGAGTCATCGCCGCCGGTGATCACCCAGGCTTGCCTCTCATGGGCAGCTATGGCTCGGATGCCCCGGCCCTGGTGGCCCCGAAATGCCTGGAGGATCTCACCTTCGTGGCTCCATACCAAGCAGACACAGTCTTCTCCTGCACTGATAAGGTAGTTCTCTAGCAGTTTGACCTGCCACACACGAGCACTGTGCCCAAAGCAGTGCCCAATATTCTGCACCCGACCCCCAGGCACCCGCAGGTCACCCACCTTCCAGATGCGAACACTTCGGTCTTCTGAAGCTGTGGCCAACAAGCCCTTGCTTTCCAGGTATGACATGCTGAAGATGACACCCACATGCCCACTGACCCGACGGTCGGGGGCCACAGGCTTATTGTCCATTAATGCGGTTGCTGGGTACCAGACCAGGAGCTGGTTGGAAACAGCACCTGCCACTATGGTCAGCTCCTTCCAGGTGTCTCCGATCAGACAGGCTGAGGAAAGGGTGCACCTATCTGTGCAGGGTACCTCCTGCAGGATGCACCCTATCACCGGGTCATATAGCACCACTGAGTTGTGGCCCAGGGCCAACGCTATGTTCCCCTCGAGCCAACGTGCATCCCAGATCCAGTCAGACATGTTCCACAAGCCAGAGCGCCAGAGCTCCCGGAAGCGGCCCTGTCCCCAGCTAAGTTTCACAATTCGGAGCCCCTTGCTCCCAAACACAGCCACCATGGCCTCTGAGTCAAGGTCGCCATTAGGTTCTGGTCGCACCCGGAACCCATGGATAAGATAGTGGCCAAGCAGGTTCTGTACGCGCTTCATCATCCGCAGATGCCCAGCGAAATCCAAGCTGTACACCAGGACATCTGGCCCCTCACCTAGAGAGAGGCAAACAGCCGGATCAGAACCCCTCATAACTCTGATGAGCCGTGAAGAGACAGGGCAGGGAAAAGTCTGCACATGCAGTCTGTGAATGTGTAGGACACACAATCCTGCAGGCTTGAACCCTGAAAGATCCTTGCTTTCAGCCCCAGCTGCACTTTTAGTGCTGATGCTTGGATCCCCTGTCACGCCTAACATTCACTTCAGCCACGAATTCCTCAAACCCACAGCCTCCTCCTCATCCCACCGAACTCCACACAGGAACCTTTTCAGCTTTAGTTCCACAGTCCTTAGCCCCATCTACCTGTACATGAATTCTAATTGACCCTCCCTCCCCCACTAAGACAATCTTTCCCCCTTGGGGCCATGGCAGAACCCCTCCTGACTTCCAGGAGCTTCTTCCCTATAGCTCAGAAGATGGGAGCATGCTCAGTGTCAATGGGGAGAACTAGGAAAGGCAGCCCACACTTTGGTAGCAGGGGTTCCTGTGGTCCTCAGCGGACTCCTGGCTGTCCCACAGGCACCTCCCACTCTGTTAGCTCATCCTCAAGTTCTCTTGATGCTCCTCATGCCAATGACCATTGTTACCCCAACCCCAAACCAGGAGGCCCACAGCTTCTTCTTCTTAACATCCCACATCAAATTCTGTGGATTTCATTTTCTAAAAATTTTGCAAATCCTCCCGACCACAGTGACATTGGTCCAGAATATCACCTCTTAACCTGAGATGACCACAACAGTCCCTCACGCCATTCCTGGTCAGCAATCTAAATCTTTTGGCATTCAATAAACATTTACTGGGCATCAGTTAAGAACCAAACAATGAACTGTATGCTGGAGTAGTGAATAAGACAAGCAGACCCTGCTCTGTGGATTAGGCAGACACTAAACAATATCATACAAGTGAACTATGTCATTATAATTTTGATAGCTTCCAGGACAGAACTATATAGGTTGCTTTAAGGGTAAAACTGGGAGGGGCCGGCCGAGTGGCTCAGCTCATTAGAGAGCGAGCGTTGAGCAACAGGATCCCCGGTTCGATTCCCACATGGGTCAGTGAGCTGCACCCAAGCTGAGTTGCTGCTAAGCTGCCAACAGGTGGCAGGATAGGATGGCTCAGCTGGTGAGAAAGCGTGCTCTTAACAAGGTTGCCAGTTCGACTCCTGCATGGGATGGTGGGTTGTGCACTCCCCCCACCCCCTGCAACTAGATTGAAAGCGGCGCCTGGACTTGGGAGCTGAGCTTGCGCCCACCACAACTAAGATTGAAGAACAACCTGACTTGGAGCTGATGGGTCCTGGAAAAACACAAAGTTCCCCTTCCCCAATTCCCCAACGTGGTTCCCCTCCCCAATAAAAATCTTAAAAAAAAAAAAAAAGCCATTTCTTTAAAAAAAAAAAAAAGAATATAAACTGGGAAAGTCTATTCCAGTGGTTCTCAATAGGGGCAATTTGCCCTCCGGAGATATGGCAATGTCTGGAGACATTTATGGTTGTCACAACTGTTAGTTGTGTTATTGGCATCTAGGATTGGAGGCCAGGATGCTGCTAAACATCCTACAATGCACAGACAGCCCCTCACACAAAGAACGATTTGATCCAAAATGTCAACAGTACCAAGAATGACACCTTGAGGACATAGCATTTAGGCTGAGGAATCAAGGACGACCAGTGGTTAGCCAGAGGAAAAGCAGATGGGGGCTAGGGGAACCTTTCTTGGCAGAGGACATAGCAAGTTTGATGGCCCTGAGGTGAGCAAGAGCTTATTGTGGCTGGAACCAGAAATGAAGGGCTCACAAACAGGCTAGAGAATGCTACTGAGGGGGTTAGGGAGACATAGCTGCATGGCCTCAAATGATGGCAATAAAGGTACAGATGCCACATGTATGAAGTCCGAATCAACCAGACCGGAAGTCACAGGAGCAGGTGAATTCACTTGAAGAGCTTCCTAACCTGTATTTCCCAAGTCATTCCCCTGCTTAAAACCCTTCAACGGGTCCTCCCCACCGCCTTTAGGGATCAAGTCAGATCCAGACCTAAAATGGTCTGGCCTCTGCTCATTTCTCCAGCCTTTTCTTCTTCCAGATCCCACCCCCGCTCGAATAGCACAGGAATTCCCTTTCCCCCAAAGTGACAAATTCGCTCAGCCTCAGGACCTTGGCATGCTTACCCTCTGCCAGGAACTCACCCCTTCTCTTCCCCTAGTTCACTCTTGTGATTCTTTGGGTTTATTGTATTGGGTTCCCAGAGCTCCCATACTAGATCAAAACTGAGCCATCACTCCCCACCCCCATCCACCCCTCTTGGGATTGGTAACAGCTCACTCAAGGCTTGAGAGACATTACTCTGCCTTGGGACCCTTATAAAACTCTGCAGCAGCAGCATCAGTAACTAGTGGCTTCCAGTCGGGCCTCACTGTTCCCCAGGGCTCTGCCACCTCCAGTCCCAGGTCTTTGCTGGCCTATGCTTCCCATCCTGGCCCTCCTCGGAGGTGGAAGGACATCGGATTTCTCCAAACATCTCAGGTGGGGCCTCAGCCTTCGCCTCCGACTGCCGAAGCACTGGCCTACTCAGAAAGGTCTCATCCCGGCTTTCCCGTGACCCCATCCTCGTCATAGGATCTTCATCACCCCCCTTTCCAGGGAAGGGCCTCAACCACCCTCGAAGCCACACCCCCACCTTTCCAGGCCCTGCCCTCCTCCGAGAGCACACTCCGGACCCCCGGACCCGCCAGCCGAGGTGAGGAGTCCTCATCCCCGATCTCCCCGCCCCATCTCCTCCAGAGAGGCCAAACCCCCACCCAACTCACTGAAGGGGCCACACACCTCTTTCCTTCCCCTTCCCTCGCTTCCAAAATGACTGCGTTTCCCTGCACCTTCCCGCGGCCTCACCGCCCTTTCCACCTCAGCAGCAGGTTGCGAAGGGCCTCGGTAGCCACATAGGGTTTCTTTTGTCTCCTGGGTCCCTCAGGCCGGGTCTCATACCCGCCACCTCCGGGCTGACCTCCCCCGGTCGCCCGTCCTCCTCCGGGCATCCCTTTGTTCTATGGCCCCGCCCATGCGAGCGCTCGGCTTCTTCTCCGCTAGCCCGCGCCTTAACCCAAACCTCACCCGCCAGCAGCCGTTCCCCCACGCACTCCAGACCCGTAACCGGGAGGAGTATGAGTTCCGAGGTTGCCCGCGGCCAAACGTAGTCCTCGTGAGCTTCCATGTCGGTCCTCTAGCTGTTGCAGCTGCCACCGCCGAGAAGAGCTTGAGCTATCGCGAGACGAGCCTTCCCCGCGCGCGACGCTGCCGATCTACAGCGCCCTTAGCAACAGGTAGCCGAGCCCGCTACCGGTGTCCAATGACGACCCCTTGCCACACGCAATCCAGCTAACGATTGGCGGGGCCGCCCTCGCCCCTCCCCCTCACGTGACGCTCGCCGAGCGCCCCTGGTTACGGCCCACTCCGCCCGCCCACTCTACATTCCGCAGATCCCAGCTATTCAGCCCAGCGGCTCAAAGCTGTGTGGTTTTATTTGACGGGGCAGCATGGGTCTGTACACAATAAATAACACGAATATAGGAACTGTGCCCTAATCGCGGCTGGAGGCGGGGATGAGGCAAGACATCGGCCAGGCCTTTGGCCTACAGCTGGACAGGGGAACTGCAGGGCCCCCGACCTTGGGCAGCAGGCGACCTGCGGCTGGGGGCCAGAGCTGACACTTCCCTCAGAGTTCCACGCGCGCGTCGCGGTAGGCCCGGTCCAGGGCCCACTCTGGCTGTGAGTCGGCGCCACCTTCGCGGGCCAGGCGCGCCATCTCTTGTTGGAACAGCGCCTGCCGCGCCTGGCTGGGATCCACATTGATCCAGTTGTTGGCAATCCACTTAATGCCACGTGTGACCAAGCAGCCCCCGTGCAGCGAGTAGTCATCCACATCGCCCACCCAACCTAGGAGAGGAAGATGGCGTGAGCAAGGGAGGGGACCCGAGGGACTCCAGGCTGGGCTTATCTGAGCTTGGCCTCCTACAGCCCAAGGACACAGCAAATGTAGGCCCAGCTGTGCACATCTTCCATGGCAAACATCTGGTCCTAAGGCCACCTTGGGGGTCTCAGCATCTCTCACCAACTAATGCCTTGTCAACACCACTGGCCCTCTGAAACCAGCTTTCCTGTTGCCAGGCCTGTCCAGAGCTCTTCCCAGCTTTGGATGGTGAGGTGGGAAGGCTGAGGCATCAGGGAATCACCGGGGTCCACATAACCCTGGAGACTGCACAGGTGCAGGCCACCAAAGCCACTGATGGTGGTTTTAGGGAGGCACTAGGGGCAGAAAACCACTTGTAGGGCAGCCAGAAACTGCTCGCCAGGGTGGCAGTCCCAGCTGGGTTAAGGAAAGCTTCCCTCGGCGCCCCTGCCCTGGCCACAGGCTCTCACCTTGTCCATCAGGCAGGTAGTTGTACCAGAAGACTGCTGTGCCCTGCCGGGGCTTGACACGCAGGTTCCCCTTATCACAGTGCCTCCGAGTGTCACGGAGGTCAACATCATCCTGAATCAGACTCTGTGGGCAGGAGGGTGGTGGCGTTTTCAAGATGCCCCCATTGTTTGGCCAGCAGCCAAGGCCAAATAACCAAAGGTAGCCAGAGGGAAATGAGTCAGATGTGCTCAGGGGACCACTTGGGCCCTCATTCCAGGTCTGGAGGGGAATGAATGTACCACATTGGCCCAAGGCCCTGCCATCCCACCCGAATAACAGCCAGGTTGGCTCTTACCATTTCCTCATAGGTCCTGTTGTCTGCTACAGGGAAGACAGTCTCTCCCCCACCGGTGACGTTGTTCAAATAAAACAGCACTGTCATGTAGCTGTAAGGCAGGGGGGCCGTTGAGCATGTCCTAGCAGTGGCTGCTCCTAGGGGCTTACCTGTAGGCAGGATAAGCTGCCCAGGTTCCCAAAGGCCAGAGGGGCAGGCTGGGATCAGTGACAACAGGGCAGGTCAGTGCCAGTGCCAAGATGTCCCTAGCCCATTCTTCCCACAAACCTAGTCTCTTCCTGTTTGTCACAATGTTTTTTTGTGGCCCATATCACAGGTACACTTAATTACGTTGGGAAAGGTAGGCTGGCAGAAGCAGCAAGATCATGGAGAAGGGCTGGCTGCGATGAGGACGAGCTGAGTCACAGCAGCCACCTGAAGGGGAGAGGCCTGCCTCTATGCCTTGGCAGGGGAGGGGGACACAGCTTCAAAGGGAGAAACTGAGGCCTCCGGCACTGGAGGCAGGAACAACACCCAAGGAGGGGGCAGGAAGAGCTGGGGTTCCAGCCTTGCCTCAGTCTGGCCACTGAGACAAGATGGCCACCCCCTTTTCTGACACTTGGTAAACAACCTGGGGGGCAGCAGTAGGAGTACCCCATGCCAAGGGGCATGCCCACAGGGCTGTGATTGTGTCGTGGGGGTGACTGGTCTGGGAGGTGAAGGCAACCCCCAGGTGGGAGGTACTTGCCGGCAGGAGGTCTCGAAGGGTACAGACTCATTGGCTACCAGCTTGGTGTGGGAGCAGATGGTCTCTGGGTACACAGGCCCGCTGTCCACATGGGCATGGTAGTGGCCTCCCTCTCCATACCGCACAACCTGCAGGGGCTCACTGAGCTCCACGATCTCAGGTGACAGGCGGGTGAGGCGCAGCACCCTGGTGGGCAGCAGGCAATCAGCTGGGCACCCCCATGCAAAGTGGCACCCTGAAGGAGCTGGCTACATGCTCTGCCCCTGCCCACCTCCCCTGGGAGCCCCTTAAGCCACCCCAGTCTGGCCCTACAGGAACAGGAAGAGGTTACTCTTAATGAGCCCTTCTCCCTGGATGTTAGAGACACCCACCGGGTGGGAGAGAGGAGATTTCCACTAAATTGGATGGGGGACACTCCCCCAGGAAGGAGGTTATCTATAACCCCTGGCTGCTCAGAAGCAGAGGGTCCTGTGGACAGAGATAAGAGGTCATTTCTCTATTAGCAGAAAACAGACATTCAGTCTATCTCTAATCCCAAATGTATGCTGTTTGCCCACAGTTAGGGCTCATTTGCCTTTGTTAATTGCCTGTCTTTCAATGGATCCCAATCCTGGTCTAACAAGTGGAACTTCATCCTGAGTTGGCTAATCGATTCTGTCCTCTCCGCCCCAACCAAGGCCTTCTGTGGGGGCCCTGCACGGTCTCTCGCCCCCGCACTGGGAGGCCAGCATCAGGTGCTCACCTCTGGCGGATGGCGCGCATGACATGATGGGCACCTTCCCCCTGGTAGAGCCACGTGTGGTGGCTGTTCCGCACCAGCTCGCTGGACTCTGCCTTGTGTCTCCTCATGTACTTGTGGAAGTCCCGAAGGTCCATGTTGGAGAACTCCTGCAGGCTCAGCACTCCTGCACGGGGCACCCACCATCAGTGCCCACCAGGCCCATGAGGGGAGGCCACAGTGGCAGGCTGCACCTTCCTACCTACCCTGGCCTCAGGCACTGGGGGGCCATGTGCACCTGTCCCCCAACCTGGACTCCTGGGTCAGACGAACCTGGCTTCTGTCACATCAGGCCCTACAGGAAGACCCAGAGAAGTTCATTTCCTCACTTTAAGCCCTGATGTGGCCCCCAGCCAGAAGAAGCCCAACCCCTCTAAGATTGGCCAGAGCAGGGTTTCCAAAGGAAGTTTGAACTAAATGACCAGGACCCTAGACCATGGACTGCCCCTGGCCCTCCAGCCTGGCTCTATAGAGCATGGTGACCACCTTTGGTCCTGTAGAGGGTGAAGGAAGAGAGCAGTTAGTGACGCCTTTTGTCCAGAGCCTTCCACACTACAATGTACAAGCTATGACTGGGCCCTAGAAGTCTTCATGACCTCAGGTCACACCCCGATTGGAATATACCTGGTCAGTACCACCTGCTGGGTTACCAGATAACTCAGCAGAGAAAGCCACTCTCCCCAGTGAGAACACTCTCCCACTGTTCCTGCCCAACCCATGAAGCAGGGGCTCCACCCTCTTGGGGTTCTGTAACAGGAGCTGATATCTTTGCTCCATATCATCCTGGCTAACCCAAGGGAGACACCTTCCACCCTTTTGTCCAGATTTCTCTTAGGGTGGGAGACACTCAAGGGCTGTGAGCCTGTCACCAGTTCTGAACACAGGGGCAATAGCAGCATGATGCCGCTCTAGCCACAGGTCTCGGGCCGATTTTTCACTCTGGGTTCACCAGCCACAAGGCCATTCTTCCAAGTCCTATTTGACTGTTGTATCTTCTTCACTTGGTCAAGAACTTAGGCATGACAGAGATGACTACATCTCAGAAATCTCCTGAGGGTTATTGCCAAAGGTGGGGGGGCACTTGCACGACAGCTCCCCTGCCCACCCCCACCCCCAGCAGTTAGAATGACTCCTGTAGGCAAGAGGAAGGCAAGGGAGACCTTGGTCATCCAGAGATGGTGTTTGCTAGAGCGGCCCCTCTGCCTGGCTGGAGAGAAGCAGATAGAGCAGGGTGAACAGCCAAGTTCAAGCTGGGCTCACTGTCCCTTTACACTCACTCTATCCACTCTGCCCTCAGCCAGCCAGCAACTCTACCTCCTGTACCCCAGACTCTGCCTGATGAGGTCAAAAGAGTCTCCAAAAACTGCCCTCTAGATTGTCACTAAGGAGGAGAATGGGAAGGTCTGGCTCCTGCCTATTTCCCAGGGGTGAGCGCAAGGTGGGCTCCTCACCCTCCTTGACTGTGGCTACTTTAGAAGCTGAGCATAGAGGCGACCTGAGTGTGGGGACAGGAGGTTCCCAGGGACAGAACTGGGGCGAGGTCTGAGCTCACCATCACCATCAGGGTCAGCCTTGATCGCAGAGTACATCTCCTGAATGTTCTCCGGAGTCATCCACCGTCCATTTCCCAGGCGAGTCTGGGCCAGGACCTAAAGCACAACATCGCCCCTCAGTAGGGTGGCCCCCATGATGGAAAGTCACCAGAGCACAGATAGCTGCCCAGTTCTTGCTGTGGAGCTAAGGTTTCAGGTGACAGGGCATGGGCAAGGACACAGGACAAGCCTAGGGTCCTGGGCTGAAGTGGGGGTAGGTGGAGAGGTCAGGCAGCGTCTGGGGAGGTCAGGAAGACAGTCAAGTGCCCCGAGGGTCATGGGCACAACCAGCCCTGCTGGGACTGGGGCCTCCACGGGGGAGCACTGTCAGATGGTTGGAGGACACAGTGAAGGACAGGCCTGTGTCCCACTCAGATGCCCCAGGTGAGGTGAGGGAGGCCAAGGCCTCAGTGTGCAGAGCAAACAGGCAACGGGGAAGGCCTGGCCAGGGCATGAGCACCGAGCCCCTTGGGAAGACCAGGCTCAATGAGGCACTCAATATAGGCAAGGGACCCCACACCCTGCCAAGACCTCTCTCAGAAGCTGGGGTGTAAGGGGCATGCAGAGAGAGCAATGCAGACTCCCGGCCACCTCAGAGATGCCACCCCATCCATCATGAACAGTTCCATGGGGCTCCGAGCTATGGCAGCCAGGAATCCAGACACAGATGGCACAACACCCAGGAGCTGTGGCAGTAAATGCCATCACCCCCAGGCAGACGCTCCTGCTATCTGGGATTCCTGGGGCAGCAAGAAACTCCCCAGGGAAGGAAGGGGACTGTGGGCCTGGGCATGTCCAAGCTGATATGAGGTGGCATTTGACTCTCTGGGCCAAGCCTGAGCAGGACAAGTGATCTGGGCACCAAAAAGATAATTCTGGGCACTCCCTACCCCCCCCCCCTCCTCACCCCCGCTGTGCCTACTCCAGGCCCTAGGATCCCAACCTCGCGGAGCTGTAGGCGACCATCACGGTTCTGGTCCAGCAGCTGGAAGAGGTCCAGCTGGCTGACCTGCATTGTGCCCATTGCCTCCTCGTACTCTTCAGTGGGCAGAATCTGGCTGCGTTGTAACCCCTTCATCTGTGCCAGGTGGATGATGAGCCGACACTCCTCGTCACTCAGGAAGCCAGGGATTTCTGCCAGAAGAGGAGGTGAGTGAGGCCAAGGACTGGGCCAGGGCACGGATACATCCGGTACCTTCCTCCCTACAGGGTTCCTGGGGGTACTCCCTGGCCCCTGGCAGTCACCAGGTGAGGAGGACTTCGCACACCCCTTTACATCTGCTCTGGACATTAACCCCAAGGTTGAGTTGTCCTGCAAAGGTTGGCCAGCGTTTGGGTTGTGGGGCCTCTCTCTTTGATGCTGAGAGCACACATTTTCCAGGAGAGTCCTATGAGGAAAGCCAGAGCTGCACTGGGCATGGGCTAACCCACCTTGGGATGGGACCGAAGGCCAGAGGGTGGACCTGAAGGGCAGAGGGTTGACCTCCACTTCTTACTTGGTATATATCTAAAAAGTGGAGGGATGGTGCCTGACTTTTGCTTTCATTTTTACTTTTCAGCATTATTCAAATTAAAACAAAGTACAAGACATTCAGCACTCTAGGCTGCACAAGTGGGTGCTGATTATCTGACTGGCTGAGTTGCCCAGTGCTGGGAGGTCAGTGGGGGTCACTCAGGTTTTTGGCAGACGCTCTGAGAAGATGCCCCAAGTGTCCTTGCTTTGGGAACAAATGTACACCGAACGCCTGTTCCATGCCTCTAAGTCCCTGAGTAAATGCCATTCAGGACTGGGCTCGGCTCCAGTGGCTGGATGACCCCACACCGGCCCCACAAGCAGTTTGGTGGAGCTGGAATGTGGGCCTCACACCTGGGGAGCCCCCATCTCAGTGGCCCCTGGCACTTCCAGAACAGGAACCTAAGCCGTTTCATTCCCTTGTTTCTGGGAGAGAAGATGGGGCGGGTGGGGGGGACACAAGAAACACACAAAAGGAACTGATTGGAAAAAGGACCACACCGCCACCAGGACCCCTCAGACTGCAGAGCGGCCTGCGCAGAGCGGCCTGCCGCTTCTCTGGGTTATGCTTCCAGCATGAAGTTCCAGTCATAGCCAAGAGGAAGGACAATGGTCACTCAGCCAGGACTGGAGCGGTTTTTAAAAGGAATCACAGCAGATCACATTTAGGAAGCACAGACTGTCCTGTCCTAAGTGCGTCCAGTCCTTAATCTGTATATTCTTCCTAGAAAGCCAGGTCCCATGAATTCGCCCTTCCTATCCACAAAGAACCCCAAGCACGAAGACATCAGTGACTGGCCCAGGGCCACCGAGGCTGTTGTACTCCAAAATCCAAGCTCATGAGCAGATTCAGCTTCCATGGGTAGGTGACCCAGATGTGATGACACTGAAGACGGGAGGGGCAAAGGCTCCCATCTCTGGCCTGCTTGACACCCCAACCCAGCAAACCCAGAAAGAGTGTGAGCCATCCACTGGGGGGCAGCACTGTTGGACGATGACTTGAGTGAATTGCTAATGAACAGTTGCCTTCTGGTAGCTTAAAAAATAAACACACAAACAAGAAAAGGCAGAAAAAGCAAGCACAGGCCCAGGTTTCTTCAGTTTATTAGGTGCTGATAATCTGCAGGCCCAGATGAGATTCCACCAACCTCTAAAGTCCCCTGCCATGTGCTAATCAAATGCCCAGGCCAGCATGATGGGGCCTAACCAGGTGGGTCCTTGCACCTGGGAGCTGGGCAAACATTGACTCCTGGAGGGCGGGTACAGCCCTATAAAGTCCTCAACCTCAGCCTATTAAGGCCAAGGCAGAGAAAATAGGTGATGGCTCCAGGGCTGTGGCTGCTGGTGGCATTGGTGGTGCTGTGGGGTGATGGCGGGGCAGGGGCTCCCTTGGGCCTCATGCGGTGTATGCCAATTCCCCAAGCCAGGGCACTGTGCCAAGACATTGGCTATACAGAGATGCAGCTGCCCAACTTACTGGACCATGCCACAGCCCCTGAGGCCATCCAGCAGTCAGTCAGCTAGCTGCCCCTGCTAGCCAGGGAGTGCCACCCTGATGCTCGCCTCCTCCTCTGCTCCCTCTTTGCCCTGGTTTGCCTGGAATAGGTAGGGCAGGGACACCCAGGTGAGGGCAGGGGGCCTCTCTTCAGCCAGGGCCGGTGCTGGCAGCTCTTCACTAACCACTGCTGGGCGCCGTCAGTGCCAGGTGCTGACAGGGGCGGGAGGACGATGAAGGATTTTTTTGTCAGGGTGTTCCTGGCAAAGGGGAGCAGGTGCCCATGGGAGGAGACTCGGGCAGGGGATCACCCGTGGTGAGCACCCTTGGTCTGGACCCACAAATCATCAAGGGCTCTTGAATATCAAGGTAGGGCAAGTGGGCAGGCTGCTTTAGGCTGGGGGGCCGGGAGCCCCTCTCCAGCGAGGTGTGAAAACTCTGCCCAAGGGGTCCTGGCAAGAGAGGGAGCCAAGGCTCATTAGGTGGCCTTTTCTCCCGGAGATGGCTGATTCCTCTTCCCTAGCCTAACCTATGTGGTGATCAACAGATCCCTCACTTCTCTCTTTGCAGAGCAAGGGCCCTTCCCAGAGCCTCAGGGTGACCATGCCAGTAGCAGCAAGACTGGGTTCTGAAAGAACCCGAGATTGGGGCCCCTGTACTTTTTGCCAAGCCCAGCCCAGGCCAGAAACGGCAGTATCCTGCAGGTCTTTCAGGACAAGAGGGTAGGCCCTGCTCTCTCCCTCCAAGATCCTGAATGAAGGCCCAGACTGCAAAGCCCCTCCCATATCCCCCTCCCAGGTGCAAGAAGTTTACGGGAGCTGCAAGGGGAGGGGCGCTGGAGAGGGGAAAGCAGCTTGGGCTGTGGGAGGGGGGGTAAGGATGGAAGGCTGAAGCGCTGGGAGTGGGGATGCAGGTCTGAGATTCCAGCAAGCACAAAGCCAGGGTTCAGGACTGTTGCTAGGTGACCAAGTGTTGCTCAGCAACCGCGGAGTTATGGTCAGGCCTCAGCGCTCCAATACCCAGAGGGTCCAGCCTGGAGTCCAGGAAATCTGGACCTGAGCGCCCTGCCATCGCACCTCACCCCTTTCCGCGCAGAGTCATCTACCCGAGCCGCATGCTGTGCGATGTCCTGCAGGCCGGCTGCGCGCCCATCATGGACTGCTACAGCTACCCCCTGGCCAGCCAGCCAGCACTGTGGACACTTCTCCTCCGATCAGGGCCTCTGCGTGGCGGCCATCTCTGACAGCTCCCGCCCGGGCCGCCCACGTGGGTCTCTGCACCGCTTCTAGGTTCCTTCCTCCCCCTTCGGCCCCACCCTTTCTAATCACTTGGCACGGGAGTCAGGTAAACGAGGTCTTGGGTGGGAAGAAAAGGGACGGCCCACAGCAGCAGTCTATCTGAAAAAGGGGAAAGCAGACGGGACCTGTGCTGATGGCCCACCTCCCCCACCAGCGGCCTGGTGGGAGCCTCATTCACTCTCTTCTCACAGTGCCCCGTGCTAGCTGCAGGGACTGCGAGCTGCAAGAAGCCAGCTCCTCCAAGGAGGTCCTGGACACAATCTGTGCCAGCGATTCTGGTGAGCTCCTAGGGGCCAGCAGGCCTTATACACACCTTAGAGTGCTTCATTCCAGCTCCTGGCTCCTGAGACAAGTGCAAAGACAAATGCTATGCCTGGTTAGAGCTAAAAATGAGTTCTTTTAATACATGTGGGGCATTGCTAAAACAACGAATCTGCTAAGGAGGGTGGCATCCAGGAGCACAGCCTTCTCTAGGACCCCAATTCCACGAGCAGAGTATTAAATAAGAGGGCTCACCAGATGGAAAGGATGGAAGTGGGACGTACTCCCAGAGACCCAGCTCATCACCCTGCCCCTCTGATCCCATTCAGTAGTGAAGGCTAGGGTCTCCCGGCACAATGGGTCATCCTCCGGACCCTCTGACTTCGGGCTGGACTCACGGCTAGAGGTGCTGAAGGCAGGCCTACTGTGCCCTGTGGAGTTGGCACCCACTCTGTGACGCTGGCTGAAGCTGGAAGCCACATGTGTGCACAGCCTCCTGTGAGGAAGACATGCTATGTACTGAGTGGGGAAATGCAGGGCCACCAGCTGCTGGTAACCACAGCCTATGCTTGGAGCCGGGGTCACCGAAATCCGCAGCTGGCTGTGCGCAGGTGGCACCATCATCGGTGCCCAGAATAGGGGCTAACACAGGCAGGGAGAACCTGGCACTGTGTAGCCACAGCCTCTGTGTTGGCCATGCAAACCGCGTGCTCCCCTGGACACACATAAAACCCTTTCTGCTACCCTCATGGATATTTGCAGATCAGAGTCCAGAGAAGACCCAAGACTCTTGCATCTTGGGTCAAGCAGGGCAGAAGCCTACTTCCATGGTCACAGTAGGAGCCCCTTCCTGAGCTGGTAGTGCTCTGCCCAGACAAAAGGCAGGCCAGCTCCCTGGTAGCTGCGTGTGCTAGGCATGTGGAGCCACCTTTTTGTCCTTCCTAGAACTGGGATGACAGCCTGGCTTAATGTCCTGCTACTACCCACAGCCCCGGCACCCCACGCTGAGTCTCAGGGTAGACCCAAAGCCTAGCCTCATCCCGGGCCGGCTTATCAAGCCCCAGACAGACTCAGTTATACCTGCCTGACCTTTACTGAGTCTAGTTCTGCCAAGCAGAAGGCCTGTGGAACAGCAGGGGGGTGGAGAGGGGCCCATGCAGAAAAGTGCTTTTAGCTGCTTACAAACCTGAACTAACATGAACACTTAAAACTCTTTCCCTACTTCTGGGACTCCAGTGTTTGTCAAGAGCACAGTGGTCTTAAGTAGCTGCCTCATTTTTTCTTAAACTGAAAAAGAATTGGGAAATCCTATGAAAAAGTAGTCATGGTTTTAAAATAAATTGTTTTGTGTACTGGAGTCCATCACTTGTTTACATTAAATGGTTAAGAAATGGATTGAAACTTTGCTGGCCCACTGGAAGTGCCCCCTGCTGCTCTTGAAGAGGGTAAATCAGCGACACTTGCCCAGATGGTCCAGGCCTCTGAGCAAGCAGACAGGAGCTGGGCTGGCTGAATGCCCAGGAAGCCCCTCCAGCTGGCCAATAGTTGTCAGTAGTGGACAGAACTCTGGCTGTTGGACACACAGCCAGAGCAAACCAGGCCTCCCACACATGCAGCTCACCTTGAGAGGCAGAGGCACAAATGACACAAATAAATACAGAAGACAGCTTCCATTGATGCTAAGCCCTAAGAGAAAACCCATCAGGCTGATGCAACCGAGTGCCTGTAAACCTCTTAAGACCGGTTTGAGGCCTAGAGTTCTGAGCAGAGCGGATATTTGAGCAGAGGCCTGGTGGAGCGGAAGGCCCCCTCCGTTGGAAGAGCCTGGTCTGAGCCTACTGGTGGAGGGAACAGCACATAGAAAGGCCCCAGGGCAGCAATGAGCTTGGTGTTCGAGAATCAGCAGGGAGGGAGTGAGGGGGTGGCAGGGGAGGAGGTCTGAGAGGTGAGAGGGCTTGGGGGTACCAAATGAGATTTAGAAGTGAAATGGGAAATCCTGGAGACTTTTAAGGAAAGGAGTAATGAGGTCTGATCTGCTATTTAAATACAGAATGAGTGCGGGTGGGGTAGAGGGAGAAGTTAGCCACAGAAAGCAGTGTTCCCAGAGAGATGACGATGACTGAGACCTGCAGCACCTTCCTTCTGAACTGAACAGGGCCAAGGCCTCAGCTGACTTCCGATGGTCCAAATCCTTGGGAAATGCCTACCACAGTCAAGCAGGTATTTCCCAGGAACTCGGGATGGGACCTTTTGTGGCCCAGGTCCCACGTGCCAAATGTGTCTAGTTACAAGGGTGGGAAACAGGAAATGTTCCCCAAAGAGAGAGAGTGAAGGTTGCATGGGGTCCTCCCTGTGAAGGGGTGGGGTTCCCTTCCACGGAGATGGAGGCACCCTGGGTAAAGCCCAGTCCCCTTGCCCAAGCTTACATCCTGAACATACCCCTCAAGCCCTGGCATCTTGGGCCCCTAAGGCTGACAGGTCACAGGTTTGGAGCCAAGAGCAGCAGGGTAGAGGTGGCAGAGCCCACAGCAGGCCCATTCTCCTGGGGCCCCTCCTGCCTCTTTAGGGTGACAGTGGACGGATGGACAGGCAGGCACAGAGGACAGACATTGCTCTTTCTTGGGGTGACGCTTCCTTCTTTGGATTCATCCAACACCACAGCTTTCAGAAGCTGCCCCACCCCCACCCCAGACATCCCTCCCCTTTGGTTTCCCTCTTTCACAAATGGACGTGTCGTAACCACTGATCTTGGCTTCATTCGTCTCACCTCATTTCACCAAGCAGCAAGCCCCTGGGCTTTCTGGGTAAAACGCGGGACATCTTCCACCAACAGACTCAAAGGTAATGTAAGAGTCTGGAGGAAATGAGGACCACAAACAAAAGTTCTTGCTGCAGCTGCCCAGTTCTAATCATGCCCTTTGTTTATTTGTTTGCGGAAACAGAGACCCATCTGATGGCTGAACCAGAGCCAGTTTACCTTTTGTGAAATCTCTTCTGCTTCCTGTAATTTACCCTTGGTAACTCTGGGTCTGGGTTTCTCGTTCTCTATTTTGTAGGACTTTGATGCAACAAGCTGCATGTGAGGGGGTTAGGGTTAGGGGTTATGGCCTCACGGCTCACTTAACCTAACATACATCTGAATTGAGTCTAGACAGGTCCCAAGAAGGCTGAGAGAAAGCACAACCCCCTCAGATGCGTCTGCTCACAGCAGTGTGGTGGTAATGGGGTGTTCTCTTGGCCTGGACCACCCTTTCCTGACAGCCACCTGGCTTGATCCCACAGCTCCTATAGATCTTTGCTCAAAGATCTTTCTCAAGGAGGCCCATCTGGCCACCCTATTAAGAGTTTCAACCCCAGTTGAAATTCTGGCTTACCTGTCTGTGATCGCTTACACCACCTGACCACCACATATATTTATTTATTAGTTTATTTATTATCTGTCTCCTCATTTGAATGCCCGCTTCTGGTGTTTTTGTTTTGGTTTTTTCCCTATTTTGTTCAATTCTGTGTTCCCAGTACCTAAAACAGTGCTTGGCACAGACTTCAATGTTACGCATTAGTAATAATAGCAGCAGCAGCAACAACCTTTTAGGGCCCCTCCCGCAACAGGGCTGACCTCATAACCTACTTCCCCTCAAGCAGCATGCATGTGATATCATTCTCCCGGGTCCAGGCATAATCCCCAACCAAGGCCCTCTGCTCCAGGGATGGTGGCATGTGCTCAGATCCTCTGTTTTGGTCCCCAGCCCCTTCCTATCCACTCTATCCTCCAGCAGCCAGGAACAGCCTGGGTCAGCAGATAAGTGTGTCACTAAAGCTGGATACCCAGGGTTGGACTCGGCAAACCTATCCTGTGCAAGGTCATGGGTCTGGGACCCCCACCTTATTGACACTGGTGGTCTTCACAGCTAGCACGTTGGCTTTAGAGTGCAGGCTCTAGAGCAGCGGTTCTCAACCTTCCTAATGCTGCGACCCCTTAATACAGGTCCTCATGTC